TTTTTTTACTTTGGGTGGATTCTTCGCTTATGGTAGAATGTGTTGGTATAAAAAATTGATGCTCACATTAGATAATATTTTGAGAATTGTGACATATAATAATGTATTTTCGGTTGCCTTGTTTGCTAAAACTTTTAGTTGTTTGAAACAAATGGTAGTAAAATTCTTGAGTATTTTTTTAGCTTTTGATTGATGGATATATATCATTTGCTTACATTTATCGTGCTTCTATCGGTTTATATTTTATAAGATGAGCGTCGATTTGTATTTGGCAAGAAAAAGTACAAATATATAGTAAGACATCTTAGGGTGAGAATATAAACTTGTACTTCATTGAGTGCCAGAAACTGTTTATCAGGATTGTAATGTGTAATCTTCTAAACTCGATCTCTTGTATCATGAGTTTATTTAGAATTTTTAAATTTTAGCCCACCACAAAATCATTTCCTGGCTCCGCCCCTGATCGCAACTCAAGTTGCATGAACAATTATTTCTTACTATTAGATTCTCTTTTTGCATATTAGGTCCTGAAAAGGTTATTGTGATTCCAAGAATCTTGATGAAGTCTTAATCATAATGTTCTACAAAACTGGAGAACATAAGCTTCAGATCCATCACATACGTTGCTAAGAGAAGTTGTTTAATATTGAGAACATAAAGTAATATTCTAATACTCAAGGCAGATATTAGATATAAAAAAGAATTAAGCACAGCAGCACGTTAGGAAGATAACTTGGTTAAAGTTTAATCAAGCCATAGAAGTGACGAGTATCAGATATATTTTTAGTTGAAGGGAAATACAATAACCTGCCAGGATGCCTGATATCACATCAAATGTAAAGTTCTTAGAAACGTCCAGAGGCTCTTTGCAGGAAGGAGAAGGCCAGAGATCAGGATATCCTACACCCCTGCATATATGACAAGTGATAAACAGGAATAAATACAATAATCTATACTAAGCAAATTATATATTTGGAGGTATAGTTTCAATAGAAATAAAGATATAAAACATTAAGATCTGATACAATTATCATATGACACTTATTTTTTTCGACTCATTTTAGAAATTAATGATACTACAATACTTGGAAATTATAACTACATTTTTTTCTTTAAAAAAATAGAGATTAAAGGTGCTGGAAATGGCAGCAGAAGCTGACACATAGAAACTCTCTTCAAATATTTCTGATTATAGAGACACCAAACTTGATGAGGAAGAAGTGTCTGCCATGTGCAGCTTGGCAGTAGCGTGTGGTGTGTGGGGACTGGAAGTTTGAGAGAGGTTAGGAAATAAAAAAAAGCAGAGGAGAAAGGAGTCAGCCGAAGTTGATACTGTCACTTCTCGTGGTATAGGAGCTAGAAACAGGGGAGGCGCTCCGTTTGAAGCTGGAGAAACTTGAAAATAACAAGGAAAGAAAGGGCAAGGAAGGAGAGAACTTTGGTGGTGTGAGTTACTGAAGAGGTGGTTGCTGAAACTGAGGCACCTGAGCTGTTGCAGTGTACAAAGAAGAAAAGGAAGGAAGGAAAGAAAGGAGAGAATAATTAAAGAAAGAAAGATATGGGAGAAGGAGGTGGAGGTGGAGGTGGAGGTGGAGGTGGAGGTGGAGGAAGATATAACTGACTACTACAGGCGTGAAATTTAGTTGAGTTACACTCCTGAATAAGCATCAAGTTGTGTTTTTGTGATACTGAGAGACCTTTCAAGCAGAAACGTGACATCCTTGCATAAGAAATTTGGATAACCGGGGATACTACATCTAAAGTACAAACTTATGTTGGAACTTATATACTGGTACAAGTATCCCAGCCTTGTGAGGCACTTTTCAGGGTCATAATGGTTGGACTCTGGCAAAACCTCACAAGCAGAAGTACCTTGATGATCAATAATGAAATCTTAGTAATTCATCTAGCGAAGTGTCCAGGTATACTGTGCATCCTACATGTTACTCAGTAAGGCGAAGGAAGTTGGGAACCAGGGGCGGATTTAGAGGGATTCCCCTGTGCTATAACACCCCCCCCACCCCCCCACCCAACCCCAAAAGACAAAAAATAAAATAAAATAA